TTTTTAGTCGTAACGGACATCGACAGATGGTTGAAAGTGGCCGTTGGCTTTTTGAAAGTACAGCCACTGATTGGTCAGCAGACAATCATGCCACACGGCATGATTTGCATAAAACTATGGCTTGGGAATCACAGATTTGCATAATGTTACGGCTGGTGATGGCTAATTGGTTGGCCGGGAATCACACCACATGACATTTGCATAGTGCTACGGTTCAGTAAGTACTAATTGGTCATCGAACCCGATGTTGATGCTATAAAAAAGTTAAGTTGAAGCGAGAGTTGGAAGTCCACTCCAGCACGGAAACTTTGTAAGTTCAGTTTGTCACAACCGGATATACGTCACTCTCGTCTAAGTTCAACTTGGAAATTTTTTTGTTCAATAATAAATGTGAATTTTTCTTCATGGAAAAAATAAGACATTCCCTGAAAATAAGACCTAGCGCATCTTTCAGAGCAAAAATTAATATAAGACACTGTCTTATTTTCGGGGAAACACGGTATTATATATAACAGAGGAAAATTATGATGATCAATAAAAAAAAACAACCCTCCGAAGATTTTTACATTTTTGAACTCAGGACAGGGATCTCAGGATGTCAAGAAGTGCAAAAAAGATGAGATGGTTTTTCTGTATACAGGTAACCTCCGTATTACATGGCACTTCTATAGCACGGGTTCACTCTAACATGGTTCGGGAATTGGATAAAGCCCTCGTACAACATGAAATGTAATAAAGGGTGCGTTCTTTTATACTTCCGCTCAACTCTGCGCGAGCATTCTAATTGTTTTCGTGGCTACTTTGAATGCTCTTTCAACAATAATCCATTTAATGGTTAAATTTTACAATTGGGACCCTTCTTTTGCCTCTAAAAGCTCATTTTAGAATTATAGATTCCTCCATCATGATACTATCGATAGTGCGGGTGCCGCTATCTTTCTTTCACCATTGTTCCTAAATGCCTACAAACAGCAATTCACTCCTGTTGCAGAGCGACTGCTATTAACGAATGCACCCAAAAACTGTTACAAGTTGATGATGATCATGCTGAGATCATCATATAGGATGAATAATCTTCTAGTAAAATATTTACTTAAATAATAAATAAGTATTTTACCTGTGAAAAAAAAATAAATAATAAATTTGACTTAAATAAGGATTTAACAGTATGTTTTTTAATTTTTGGAACCTAACCCCCCCTTTTCGCATTAGTTCTTTGTTTCATATAACACGGATTTGCATAACACGGCAATTTTTTGGAACGTAACTCCTGTGTTATACGGGGATTACCTGTATATATAAGTTGGTGTGTAACATGATTTTGTTCACCCACTTCAAAACTTATTACTCCTGTGCCTTTTGTTAAAAATTGCTGAAATTTTGCGGGGAGTTTTGTGTATTAGGGACATTGATGCTATTAAATTTTGGTGGTTATATGATGACGGGGTGGGGGAGATACAGGGGGTCATGTGTCATGTCTCAAATGGAGTTGGACTTAATGAAGATATTACTTCTTGTTAGCATTTACAATTTTCTATAAAACTCAAATCTACTCTTGTTTAGCCATTTTATAACATTTAATAATATAAAAAGTTTTAAAATAAATTCTTTTAACAGATGGCGCCACACACAATTTAACTTTTTTGCCAGGAAAGTTATACAACTCCGATTTTTTTGCTGATTATTGGTGTGTAGTTATGTTTATTGATAATTACAACTAGGAGATTATGGAAATGAAAATGTTTATTTTCAAGTGGTAGTAATCATTTTCCTTTCTGAGAAAAATTTTTTCATTTAAAATAAAAAAAATCACAATTTTATAGAACTTTTTTGTGTTATTAAAATAAATTAATTTTAAAATAGATAAGTGTATAAAAATAGAAGTCTTCGTTTAAATTAAGACCTGTGGTATGAATCTTATGGCCAATAGAAGAAATAAGCTTCTATATATGTGGTTACGTATTTTATTAAAAATAGTCAAAGCTCCCTCCAATTTTCAATATCCAATTTGTTTCGTGCTTTTGATATCATATTAATTACTAGGTAACACACAATTCAACCAAATAGGAACTGAGAGAAGTTAAAAAGATAACATTGCCTTTTCTCAAAACTGAGGAAAATTTTTAAATTTCTGCACTAATCCGGAAATTGTCTCTGTCGTTATTGAATCTTGCTCAAAGCACTCTGCAGGTTTAAAGACATTCTCATGTAGTCCCATATCCACATTAGCCACATTAACTACAAATGGATCCATCACCTATTCTGGACTTTTATTTCTAGTAGATCTCTGAACTTTAGTTTCATTTCATCATATAAATTATCTCTTTCTAACTATGTTTTCCTTGTTACTTTATTTTCAATTAGGACTTTGTGACACAATTTGTACAATATATAAAATGAACTTTTATATTCAACTTATATAACTTAGGATATGATCCCATTTTAGGGCTAGTACACATTAGACATTGGACGTTGCATTAAACACTCATTAGCAGTGTACACACCGTGCGTTTAGCTTGGCATTTGACGACCATTTGCACTGTCTCAGTTTGGAAATGGACATGAAAGTAATTGCTTGAGTGTGGCTCCTCTAACATTGCTATAAAAGATGATGGCAGAGGCAAAGAGAATTTTGGGTGCACCCAATATTACGAGATAGACTGACGGATGGAATGTTTGTGACATTGTATCCAAAACTAAGACAATATGAACCCAAGTTTTTTAATTATTTTAGAATGTCTATAAAATCATTTGACAATGGCTGGTCTCTTTTGGATTTCATCAATGAATAGATCAGTATCGAAATGATTGTTCTCCATTTCGGCCAATGTGTGAAATGGAGAACAATCTACCCGAAAGCACACGATCGAATGTACAACAAAATGGTAGCACATGTATCTCAAAGTGTGCAGCTGATGCTTGCAAAACACACATTCTAACCAAAATCTATCAACACGCTCGGCTAGAAGTGCGCATTTGCGTGTGTATACCTACATCGTAGGAGGTGGTGACGGGCCGCACTCATAGGTATAGCCTCGGAACCAGAAAAGGAAGGAAGAAGTAAAGTTTGCATAAGGTGAAGGTGAAAAGAAGTGAGATAGGATAGTTGAAAGTTATTGAGGGATCCATGGGTGCCTGCAATGCATTAAATTGGATTGAAAACAAAGTGCATAATATATACAAAGATGAGCATACAAATTACATTAGAACTTGCTTTTGTGGCACGATAATTGAGAACTATTTTACCGATACGCATACATAATACAAGCTTGTTGAGCTGACAGAAATGTGTACAATAAATTTCCAGGTACCGTACACGGTACTAACATAAGAATAGGATGCTTTTAATTGGCTAGAAAAGAGAATAGTGTCACCTAAACAGGCCAAAACAATTATGATGTTACAATACTGTTCGTAAAGCTGCAGTTGGCATCCAGGGTTACAGTTACACGCACAGTTAGAAGCACTTAACGGAAACAACACGTTACACCTGAGAAACACCACATGACCTGAAAAGTCTAGCCGAGACATACAATATAGGATGAGTGCCTAGGGAGCACTTACAATGTGTTATCAAAGAAGACAAAGTATTTATAATGATAAATACAGTAGAGCAGGTTTGACCGCCGAAGTGACATTACACAGTGTGTGTGTACCTACAGTATGCAGAACTCTTGGTTCTTTAAAACGTACATTACCAAAGCATGTGCTTCAAAACGCGTAATGTATACTAGCCCTTAGCACTGGTGACCCCCCTGGTAGTTCCTGTTGTCCTCTAATCTTTCACGTTTTTTCTAAGGCTTCACTGATATGTTACGTTCTATGGTCTGTTGAGAATCACTACTCTAAATGACTGTCAACAAAACTTATACTAATTGATTTATAAGACACCTATTACTCTAGTAACAGAGTACTATAAATTTCATTTTTCATTGTGTTTAATTAATCTTATGTTCATTTTTATACATCTTTAAAACATTTGTATATAGAATTCCCTGATAATGATAGCCCATTGGTGACCAAGTGGATAAAACCATTGAATGCTGGTTGTGGCTTTGCATCTGATCAATGGGTTGACCACATAGAGTTATCTGGGAAACTGCACCTTATTTAGTTATTTGACTAACATCTATATTGGTCTAATATCTAAATAGGCGACAGTTTTCCATAAAGAATACTGCCGGGCGACACTCCCACTTAGCAGATCACTCAGGTGTTGCATTGCCCTATTCCAGGTGTCTCCAAACTTTTCAAAAGATGGCTCACATGCCATAGTTTGAAGACTCCTGTCCTGTTCTGTTAATCAAATCCTCGATAATGAACTTTATCTATCTTTCGTTTCCAAGATGAAGCAATCAATTACAAAATGTTCTGAAGATGGATGTGAATCCGAAGCACTTGAACTTCAATTCTGCTTACATTAACACTTTATAATCTATTAAAGCAAATATATTGTTTATATAATTAAATTTGCAGCATCTTCAATATGCAATAGACTAGATTTTTATTTGAAAAGCTGTTTTATATAAATATTTTAAACCAACAATTAATTTGAAATTATGCTTTACCTTTCGAAAACATTTAAATATTAATAGGTTATTAATAAACTACTCTTTCATTTTATTATAAATTTTGTTATACGTTACATTTTATATTAGTGTTTGAATAATGTAACTGTATTGTCTGATTGAATATTTCAGACTTCAATTATGGCAGTGGAGTTTGAAGGCGGAGTTGTTATCGGAGCCGATTCAAGAAGTACTACAGGGTATAATTTTCATCTTTACTTGATATTTATTTAATATTTATAATAAAAACACACGGGTTCTAACATGCTTATTTCGGGTAGCCATAATTTTATTACAGCAAGAAACACTGCCTTGGAACGTTTTCAGCTTAAAATATTCAAAAACCAAACGAGCATTTGTTTATTGCGACATTGTCACAATGCTGGGCTGAATTTTTAATAATATTTTAAATTTATTTAATTTAAAATATAAGCTCTCCATCTTCGTACATCATACTTTTCTGTTAGCAATGGAGTCGTGCTGAACATCTATTAACAAAGCAGATCGAAGAAAGGCAGTTCTTTGAAAACAAATTTTTTTGAAGATCTGCTTTTCTTTGATGTGCTTTGTTAACTATTTCTAATTCTTTCTGAGAACTTGCCGTTGATTTAACATATGTATTTATAAGAGTAAATCATTTTCAACAAGTAAAATGGCGAAGCCATTCTTGGGATGAGAATACGTCTCGGAGAGCATGAACATCGCATGCGCAAATCTTTTACTCACACCTGTCTGTAGAAACAATCTCAACATTTTGTATTTTATTTTGACCCGTTCTCAGTCCCCTGACTACCTACAAGTCTGGTTTATTTTATGTGGGCATGCTTTGGGCACCAAATACTTCATGCCAAATTCCAACTCCTGACATGTACTCCTTCATACCTCTAAGGTATGCAGCCATTGACAGAAGCGCGATTTTAGAGATGAGACATAGTCTCGTCAAAAATCTGTTAGAAGTATTTCTAAGCTTTGTTGTAAGATTGCTCTTCTTTGGCAATTTATCATTTGTGCATTTTGTCTGTTTATTTATTTTAATAAGCGATTCATAAGTTATTTTGACTTTTATTAAACAATTAAGACTAGTTGTATACTTATTACATCAAATATTTGTGTCAACATTACAGTTACAACATGCAAAGAACAACTGCTAGTTATAGAAGGTATGTATTCAAAATATATAATCTTAATCGTATACTGATTTTTTTGGGGCAGTTGTTTTTGAAATATGTGTCTTGGCATATTTATAAGTAACATGAATCAAATTATTAGATACATAACATCTAAATTAATGTGAGTAAATTATAAATTTTGGCAGTGTGAAAATAAAAACACAAAGAAAACTGCCATTTAAAACTGGTTAAATTAGAATTAAAAATGCTAAACCAGCAAATTTTTATAACAAGTGCAGACATTTTTGCCCGTGTTGAATGGGCACATCGGACAAACTAATCACCAAATGCCGAAACAAATGGGGGACTGCCGAACACCTGTGCAGAGGGGAGGTGATGTAAGACGAGAGAAACGGGGAGGAGAGGATAGTAAGATTTACAGTTCAAAGAAAGACTTCCATGCTGTGGGGAAGGAGTTGACACAGCAAAAATTAATAGCTGTTTTTTTGCGGATGGCCTTATATTTTTTCACCTGTTCGAGATGTTTGAGAAAGGGTTGTCTGGAAGAGTTATGTCAGAATCAGAGGTGTAGATGGGCAACTTTTTCTGACACGTGGAGACTTATAAATTAAATTATAACTGTTTTATAATTATTTCCACAAAACCGACAAGCAAAAATATGAAATTGAAATCTATTTAAAATTTACAAAGAAATCTTACAAATTAAATTTGCATAACCATCACTAAGAAACTTTTATGTCGTCAATGTAACTTGAAAACCTTGCTTCAACCTCTCTCGATCTTGAGCTTCATCTCATTCTTATAGTACAGTTGCGGTGATGTTACACGATTGTGCTCACTTGACCCTATTTATATACTTAAGTGGCTAACATTCATTTAATTGTAATAATCGTTAAGTTGTGTCATTGCCCTTAAATTTAATCTTTCATAATTCTTCACTTTGTCCTTTTTGACAATTTGGGGTGAGAGAGTGGTAGTCTATCCTAACTGGCTTTTTTGTGCTCTCTGAGCGGTAAAGGACCTAAAACCACAAAAAAAAAAAAAAAAAAGTCTATTCTTAACAAAATAAAATGCCCCAAAAGGAATAGAATAATGAACTAAAAATAATCCCCAAACAAAAATAAACTGGTTTGGAATCAACTCCTTACATCGTGCAGCAGTTCTGGAAATGCAGCCAGAATAATAGTGAAAGAAGTTAGTACGGCAGCCAAGAAATTAGCGAATACCATCACAAATCAGAACTCAAGTTCTAGAAAATGTTTCTTCTGTTTCCAAATAGTAACAGTTTGCACAGAAATATTCAAAGAAGATTTAAAAATTTAATGGCCTGATTAATCCTGATTATAGGGAAATAATAAATGTTCTTGCAGAATACTTAAATTATGAATTCAGTCCATTACAATTTGAATGTTTTTTACTGGCTGACTCTGTATCAGAACAGATCGATCCACTGAGAATATCAATTTTGGTCATGAAAGTCATGCACCGTGGTGCCAGAACACGAGTGAATTATTTGCAGTTGGCACATTTTTACTTACTCCCCCTCTCTTTGCTCAAATTTTCTTTATTTTGGCAAGAAAGGATGGAGGTCTGGTTTTCTCTGTTTTATATTGTTTATTTCCTAATAAAACATTTGAAACACATACAAAATTATTTAATATGATAGATAAGATGTGGCCATTGCTTGATTACAAAAGTATAAACGTCTATTATGAAATTTCCAGTTGCTTTTTCCATCTTGTACAAAATCGTTTAGCTTCGTGTCATCTTTTAGCCGGATTTAATTCTGATGCGCAATTGGCTTTAAATTCAAAATCAATTGCTTCACTTGCTTTCATTCTGGAACAAGATTATTATTTATGCCATTTTTAAACTCAAGAATCATTTATCCAGTGAGTGTGAGCCAATTTTAGAATGGTTTACGAACACGTATATAGGTCGTCTCAGGCAATTGGTCTAAGGAATAATAGATTCATGGCGCCCTGATTTTTCCTCCAACATTTGGTCTTTGTACCAAAGAACAATAAATGAAAGCGACAGGTCAAATAATTTTGCAGAAGCCTACCATAAATATTTTTCACTTACTTCCACCTAGAAATTAACCTCATTAAATTACCTACATCATATAAATCCAAGATAGGCTCCTATCTTATGTCTTTCCCCATTGAATCTCAGGCATTAATCATCCTAATGCACCTACTCGACATATATATAATTCTGGGGGTTACAAACTGGCAGCTCGCAGGCTGGATATGGCACGTTAAGGCTTCATATCTAGCCTGCAGCCTTGGTGATTTCTTTTCTGAAAGTCAACATTTCTAACATCTTGCAGGGGGATTAAAGCAGAAAAAATTGAAACTTCTGTTTGTGTAAGTCTTAAAGGCCTGGCAACTGCTTTTGTTAGAACTTTTTTTTTTTAGTTTACAGTATGTTTTGGTGCACTGAATAATAGTGAATATGGCCTGTGTCTGATATACATCTATTTGACTGACCCTGTGCTCTATTTTGAAGAAGGAATGAAAATGTTTCTTTCTACAATAAAATTTGGCTACCCAAAATAAGCATGTTAGTATTTGTGTGACATTGGGAGATTGTTTGTAATAAAAACACTTATTTACTTTTTAACTTTGATATTTTTCAGAGTGTACGTAGCTAACCGTGTCTCAGACAAACTGTCTCGCGTCACCGACTACATCTATTGCTGTCGTTCGGGTGCTTCTGCCGACACCGAAGCCATTACCGATATTGTTAGATACCAAGTTGCTCTTCATGAGTGAGTGTTTTTATGCTATTGTGTATTTTTATGTCGGTTTGTTAGAACATTAATTAAAATATATAACTAACTGTAATAAAACACCAGTACTTTGACATCTATCGGCATGGAATTCCTGAGTTTACATGCTGATTATTAAGCATGTAAACACTGTAAATTTTAATTCTAAAGAAATGCATTGCTAAATTTTTCATGTATAATAAATATCTTTCATATGTATTCTTAAATTGCCTTTTGTGGTTACCTGGATAAAAATGAATTGTTTGCGTGTCGTTTGCATATGGCAATGTGACACGCGGATGATCTGCCGAAGGGAGACGTCTCCCGAGAAGAGGACTTTCTGCGAGAAAACTGGCCCATATTTAGGAGTTACAAACATGAAGAAAACTCAGAAAACTTCCCTGGCCAGCCCATTGATAAAAATAAATTATAAATAAAATTTATTTACTTTTTATCCCAAAGTAATATTGTTTATTTTGGAATGTTAAATTAGTAGACATTGTGGATTCAAGTCTCATTTCGAATGGATCTTTTCTTTTAAAATTATCTAGATTATTATTGTTTATTAAATTATACATCATGATCTAAAATATTTAGTTTCATACAAATTTCATTAATTGAAAATGAAAAATCTTAGTTGTCTTAGTGTCGTATCAGACAGAAAAGTGCATTTATATAAAGAAATCATGTTTCTTATTTGTTATACATCTAAATTATTATTCAAATTTTCGACTTTTCTCATCGGAGATGATATGGCTATTTGTGTTGTTTAATAATCAATTAAAATTCTAGAAATTTATAAATTTTAATTTTTACAAATTTAGACTAGAAGTTGACGAGCAGTGTTTGGTAAAGACCGCCGCCAATATTTTTAAAGGAATTTGCTATAATTATCGTGAACAAGTTCTCGCCGCTATTATTTGTGCAGGATGGGATAGAAGAAATGGTGGACAGGTAAGATGAGTTTGTTGTCTATTATTACTAATTTATGCATTAAAATGAACCAATTTAACATAATTTTTGCAAACCGATTCATTTGCAGAACCCAAAATACACTAATTCTATATCATAAAGTTATTGCAGATTTAGCAAAAACATTTTCTTAAAATTTGATTATGTTAAGTATGTTATTAGTGCAGTAAATAATCTGCTATCTAAATATCTTTTTACTGCTTTTCTGTTGCATTATTTATTATTACTTTCGACATAATTTCAAGTATTTAAAATTCCTGTTGAGTATGATATTCAGGCATAGTGTGTGATATATTTCTGTAAAGTAGTAAGTATAATAAAACCTTGCAAATCTGAACTGTGTTAACTCAAAACTCTCTACAGGTTTAAAGCATAAAGGTTTTTTTCTGTATAATAAACTACTAATTTCAATTTAATGAGACTAACTCAAATCTCTCCTCCCTACGGTATATCTGGTATATATTTTCTCTTTAGTTGGCCATATTACACAGAATATGACAAACAAACACTACAACTCCTTGACGAATACAACATCGCATCATTACACTCTTGTATAGGCGTCCTTGAGAAACATCTTGATGATGATAAAATTTATGGTTGCAGAAAAATTGGGTATTAAATTTGTTAATTCAAATCAGGAATTTTTTACCTTGTAAAATTTGATTCAACAAGATTTTAGTATAGTTTCAACAGCTGTAATTAGTAATTACCTTTTTTTTTTTTTTTTTCTTCTTACAAATATATCATAGGAAGAGCTATTTTTCCACAATTATATATTGCTTGTTAGAGTACGAATTCTTATCTGTGCTGACACGTAATTATCGTATTCTACATTGTCACATCTAGTATGCAGTTTACAAATTTAGAGCTAGTAATAAGTTCACATTTTTCGAGCAGTTTCCATTTAGAATTATTCTGTTTGTAAGGGAATTTAGAATAATTCAAATTTTATAATTTTAGAAGCTATTATTAGCACATTTTATTTCATGTTGTAATATCATACTTTATTGATTCTAAGATGCACCATGACTTCAGAATCAATTTTAAGTTATTTTATGGTGGAAGTCATTTTTAAATACAGTGGGTGATCGGTTAACGAACATAATCCGTTTCAAGACTTTGTTCGTTATCCGATTATCAATTTACCATAGGTTTTTATGGGAATTTGATTAATTCGTTCCAGAGACTCCAAAAAATAAAACGTAGTAAAAAAGTACATATTTTTTATTTATATGTAATAGTAAAAATACATATATATGCAGTCTTGCATTTTTATTAGTCATGTTTTTCCATTTGTGGGGGTTAAAGAATCTGTCCAATGTCGATTGCTTTTCTGTTTTCTTCAGGATTTTTCGGAAATAATTAATAATAATGTAATTGTAGAGATCCCCAACCTCGTTAACCTTATTTTGGTTTGGATGCCACTTGGATGATCGTTGTTCTGACATCCCTGGAGTTCTGTCGTCAGATCAGTTTCAGGTTCCATTATGAGCTCTAAAATGCTCATTTCTCAGATGTGATTTTTATTATTCCATTAGCAGCTTGAAACTTCTTGATATATCTTTCATAGCTAAGATTATGCCTACTGTAGACTTGTTCAAGCCATAATGCCCAGCAACATCAGACATCTTTTGCCCACTTGGCTATTATCTCTTACTTGGTTTCTACGGTGAGCACAGTTCTTGACACTCCTTTTTTTAGGCTTCATAATATTATCAGTTTCTTTTTTAAATAAAAAGTTCAGAAAAGCACTTACAAAAATTCAGAGAACAGAAATCAGCTAGCTCACAAAAAATTATTTAAATGCAAGGCCCGGATGAAATTTGGTATTAAAAAGTTAACGAATATCCAATGGGACAGTTAAACTTTCATCTTTCATAAATAAACTCTGACGCAAAACTTAACAAGTGCCCGTCCGACAGTCTCGCAAAGACTATATAAAAAATTATTTGTCAGATAGGTAAACAAAAAGCTGGAATTACAAGGGAGAGTTTCAAAATTCAGAAGAATATTAATACTATCCATTCAGTATTGGGTTGAGCGTTGATGTTGATGTTGATGTCTCTCTCACTCCGAAAGGTTTCAAATTGTTACCTGAAGACAAGGGAAAATCAATCAGTATTCATTATTTTCCGTTGCTTCTTTTTATGTTTGTTCAGTAAAGTGTTCATTATCCAATCATAAAAATCTTTTGTGAAAGTGTTTGTCATCCGAACTGTTCGTTAACTGATCACCCACTGTATTCAAATTTATTTAATTTTGTTAAGTAGCAAGTTATAAAAGCAATACAAATGCCATTAAACAGTTTTTGCAGCTGTATTTCCACACACTTTTGTATATACAGTAGAGCCTCAATTATTTGACCCAATTGAGGACTGGGGTTGGTCGGATAATTGAAAAGTCGGATAACCGAAAAGTATGAAAAAATCCATTATTAGTGTAGTATATTATTATATCCCATGTAATTAGTATATCGCTATTAACCTACTTTGCGTTGAATTTTCATTGATGTTAAGCCTAACAAGAATTTTTTAAAATAATAATCGTCGCTATTATATTGTTAAAAATTAGAAAATTAAGCCTTGTTTAAATACCGGCTCCCTTTCTTGGTCGAATGAGTGTTGCCAGCTAAAACACACGTAAAAATAATATTAAAGTAGCCAAGACATAGCCAAATATTGTAGCGCCACATCACTAGCGGACATTTGAAATTTGCCAACTAGGACGGTCGGTTAACCGAGGTGTCGGTTAATCGGGGGTCGGATAATCGAGGCTCTACTGTATAACAACTTTTTGCTTTAATTGCCAAATTATAATGTTTTGTTATGATTGTTGGTTACTGTAGTCTAAAACCTTCATTATTAGTGCTTTAATTCATTGTGTGATCCGTTTTTGATTTCTTTTAATTGTTGATTTGGACTAAGAATATATGATGCTGTTTCCAATAAATAAAAGGTAACTTTGAATCAGAGTATAGTAACTATATAATCTCCATGATGTAAAACAAAACTTTTTTCCTTCACGCTGAATGTTCATGAGATAAATTAGCACTGATGTAATCTATGTACTAAGGCAGTGGTTCTCAACCTTTCTTGTTAATTAATGTACCCCATTAGCCCATTAGTTGTTTCTCAAGTACCCCTTATATTTTTGTATGTAAATTTTATAATTACTGCATTAAATGTATACAGCTCTTATAACTGAGCACCATAAAAAAACTATAACTAAAAGTGGATTACTTATTTTACGTAAATAATAATAAATTTAATCAGGTACATACATTTATTTATTATTATTTGATAAGTATATATTATAATTAACGATAAAGAAAATTTAAATTATTCTACAATAATTTCTAACAAAATTTAATGGGATATTTGTTGCGATAAATCTTCAGCAATTTTTTCAAAATTTGGTNGAAGACTTGAGGCTACTACACACACAAACACCATTAATGTGCGATGTGTAGTTTTTGCTGCAGAGTGACGTATAGGCACAAACACGTCCATTTATATATATATATAAATGGACGTGTTTGTGCCTATACGTCACTCTGCAGCAAAAACTACACATCGCACATTAATGGTGTTTGTGTGTGTAGTAGCCTCAAGTCTTCCATCGTGCACTATGGTGGTTGCGTCTCGATTGCTATAAGGGTGTGAGAGATATGGGGTTTGAAAGTGGTTGACTTCGAAAATGTGTAACACTTCAATGAGAATGTTCCAGAACCTAGAGGTCAAAATTTGATACACAGTTAGGGTACATCATGAAAACGCACACTATAAAGAGATTTTTCGAAATTACCCTGCGGGGGGAGAGGGAGAGCATTAAGGCTTAACCCGAAGAACAGCTTCTACTGTACTATTTTAAGTGCAATTTTTTGTTTTTAAGTGCGTTTTAGTATTCATTGAGTACTTAGGTGTATTAAGTTGATAACATTTCAGACATTGTTATAAATATTTTTTATATATTTCAATTTTTTAACCAAATGTCGAACCATTTAAATTCAAATTTCTTTTTGCATATTGGTTCAATTATAGAATGATTGTTTTTAATTTGATAAATTTTCTGGAACATTTACAGTTTGTTTGATTCTCAGCGGTAGGTGTTATATAACAATTATTACAGTTGTTGAAATACTGAATGTAAATAGGGTTTGCTTGCAAAATCCACGCGAGCGAAGCCACGGGTAACAGCTAGTATTATATAAAATCACAGAAGTCATTTCAATACATGCATAAATTACATTTCCCAAAAATAAATACAGGTAATTATAATTAACGATAATCAAAGTTTAAATTATTCTACAATAATTTCTAACAAAATTTAAAGGGATATTTGTTGCAATAAATCTTCAGCAATTTTTTCAAAATTTGGTTCCCACATTGTTAACTGACAACGAATGTCTGCTGATGCGTCAAGCCTGTTTCCTATTTCTTTTTTCAGTTTTAGTGTCACAGTATTTGGCAAACCGCATTCACACAAATACGTTGTTCCAAACAGTAAAAGTTTTCTTATGGCTTTATCGGCTATGTTTGGCTAAGCTTTTATGAGACCAGCCCAAAATGATGATAAAGAAATGTTTCTACTGTATCTTTGTGTGTTGTGTCAGTAGAAATGTCAATCAGTTGCTCTTCTTCTTTTTCTGATTTGTAGGAAAAGGATTTATTATCCACATATAATTTTCAATTTCATTTATCGTCAGGAAAATAATTGTTAAATGAAATGAACAGATCCTCAAGATGTTGAATTATAGCTTTTTTTTTAAATCAGTATCAACGAGAATCTTCTTTTCTAAAAGATAAGAAGTCAATTTATCAAAAATGTCAAATTCTCCTGCCTTACATCTTTTCTTCCACATTGAAATTTTCATCTTAAATGCAGAAATTTTGTCATTGGCAGTGAAAATATTATTATTTTTCCCTTGAAGTGATAAATTTAATGCGTTAAGTTTATCAAATATGCTACATCTTGTAAAGTGTAGTCGGAAATTATAAAATCAATGTGTAGTTGTATTTTTTCCTTAGTTGATTTCTTCTGATTTTCACTCTTGCGTTTGGTTAAAAATGCTAATACTTCAGAACGTAATTCATATATCCTTGTCAATACTTTTCCTTGGCTCAACCAACGTACTTCTGTATAAAATAGTAGACAGTTGTAATCATTACCTGTTTCGGTACAAATATGCCTCAAGTCTAGTATTTAACGCTCTGTTTTTTACAAAGTTAACTATATTTGTTAGTGCCTTAAATAGAGATTATAATTGTGTAATGGCTGCGAATTTATAACGTGCAGAACAATACAAGAATCTTTCAATTTTTGTAACAAATGTACTGTCTAAATTTGCTAAATATCAAGTAATGCGCGCATGCAGTGACACACATTGCATGGTGGGGGTACAATCCAGGCCTTGTTATTCCTAATACCAGTAGGCCAGTTAAAAGATTAAAAGCCCTTATCTCATTGAGCATAAATCTAAGAGTACAGTACATCTAACTTTCATTATAAAATGGCATATGTTAATAATTTACAGCAAATTGATTAACACAAGAAATGACAAAAAGTTGCTTTAAAATATCCCAGTATGAACACCGATTTCCCTTTTAACAGTCCAAACAACTTGTTTATCCACTTGATTTGCCTGTCTATTTGTGCCGTTAGTGCCGAGTGAATCTGTAGTCTAATAAAATTACGGTTTAACCGAGCATTAATTTTAGAACAGAAAAAATTAAAGCAAGTTTTTGTCGTTTCTTGTGTTAATAATTTACAGCAAATTGATTAACATACACCATTTTATAATGAAAGTTAGATGTACCCCTTCGATTTACGCTCGTACCGCTAGGGGTACATGTACCCCCAATTGAGAACCACTGTACTAAGGCATTGATTTTTCCCACCCACTGCTTTAGTTCCAGAAAAGGAAAATCTCACTTTTATAAGACCCTCTATTCCATATTTTGGTCCGGTCTCTCTGTGCATCGCAAGAAGATTTAGAAAGTTTGCAGTTTTATTGGAAGTATAAGCCCAAACGAACTTACCTAGACAGCTTTTCCATATTAGAGAAACTGGGCATTTATCAGATACTACTGCTACATCAAAATAGTAATACAAAAACACATTATATAGTGACCACAACAAGAAAATTGATTAGCCACATATTGGAACATCAGAGAGATATACATAACAATAGATCATAATTTTGTACCAGCCTGGAATGAGACCACTCTATTGACACAATGTATGGGCCACAAGATCATTTTTATCTGGGAGGCTTTGATTGTTGAGAAACAAGGGCCCTGCAATAAACCTACGTTGGAGCTCTCAAGGCTGTATAAATCCTCAATGAAATTATATATAAAGTAGACTGCTACTTCTATAGTTTAATCCCTTTTGTATGGTAAAGTAGCACTAATCTAGATTCTGCATAGTTGGCTATCTACACAGCATTCAATTTACGATATTTAAATTTGAATATAATGACAATCATGTTTCATCTAGAATGAACAGATGTTCTTTTGCCGTTCGCCTGATGACATTTTTGAAAAGGTCAAAAATTTTGCAAAAACATCAATGTTTAATGATGAAAACAAATAACATTGAAAAGACAGTGTTCTCTGTGTTAATTTATCTCATATAATCCCCATTTGAATTTGTTTCAGTCCATGTTCTAGTGTAGGATTTCCTGAAATTTGACAATGCTGTGAGTCTGCCATAACTGCATAAAAACCGAGAAAGTAATTTAGTCTTGAGATGAATACATTAAAGATTTCACAATTGAATAGACATAAAAATGTGAAATATTTTTGTATGTCAATGACACATACATCACACTTTGGAGATGCTGTCATGAAATATTTAAAAATGTAGTTTATACAATATTTTTATATAATTCCAGGTGTATTTAATTCCTCTGGGCGGAATGATGGTAAGACAACCTTGTGCCATCGGAGGATCGGGAAGCTCTTACATTTACGGGTTCGTGGATGCTAATTATAGACCCAATATGGACAAAGAAGAATGCGTACAGTTTGTTACTAGAGGTGATCTAAACGTTATCATGTTTTTTAATTTTTAAGTAAAATTTAAACTAATCATATCAATTTTTATTTAGCTTTGGCACTTGCCATGGCTCGCGATGGATCCAGCGGTGGCGTTATACGATTGGGGATCATAACGGAAAATGGGATGGAAAGACGATTAGTTGACGATCCACCTAAATTTTGGGAAGGTTAATACATGTATACACTAATGTATGACTTTAAAAAGGTTTTTTCTAAGTTGAAATTATTTTGATTTAACTTTTAATAATAAAGCACCAACTTTCAGTTTAAACATTTGTATTATTTCATAGAATAGAATGAAATTTGATGTCAGTGGACCTGTATTTTTGAGGATTTTTATTGCAACACACAGAATGACTAGGAAACATTGAACACACACAACATGTTCAAATATACAGTAGAGCATCGATTAACCGAAAGCTTTTCAGTCGGCAAATTTTAATTTCTGCAATCTTTGGCCATGTGTTGGGCTACTCCAATATTTTTGATGGTGTGCGTGTTTTAGCTGGCCAGGACGTGCCAGAATTTGAACGAATTTCAACATGGGAGAGGTTAATATATTTTTTTTTGTACATAATCAGTTATCCGAACCCCAGTCCCCAATTGATTCGGCTAATCGATGCTCTACTGTATAACTGGAATTCACGAACCACACACTGCTCTTTCAGATCCTTACAGCATCTTCTGTATACTATGGTATTTTAACCATATAATGTATAAAGCAGCTCTCACATATTTCTAATAGGTGATTTATTTACCAGGGTGACCAACTCTTGTCCATGTAAGATTCATAAATGTAGCAGTGCTAGTATTATAAGAAAATTCTTGCAGTTTGTCAGATTTGGTCACCAAGTGACTGATTGTGTGTTGTAAGTGGTAATTGTTCTGAGTTTTGGCTCATTTTATTTAAATTATCTTTTGGGAAGCCACAGGTAGGGTATTCCTGGGTGACTTGGGAACAAATCTGGGCAGCCAAAAATCCCAGTAGTTTGGTCGAATGTGTCAGGCCCCGTGTACCTGGCCAAAATCACAATGGGTATAAAGGCCTTCTTAGTGTCATGTGGCACTAAGAAGACCTTTATACCCATTGTGTGTAAACAAATAAGTAAAATCTTTATCTATAGCTCTAAGTCTGATTATTCTCAACTGGTGTTGTTCAGTATTTAGGACTTAAATTAAAAGAAACATTTGAATGTTTACTTATAAATACAAACATATGGTAGTCGGTTAAAACTCATGGGAAATGGGGTATATGCCAATTTTAAGTTGCAATTATGGACTGGTGTCTTTGGAGCAGTGACTGCTCCCATAGACATTGTTAGGTAGGTTTCAATGTTCTGTACTTGTAAAAGTATGCTAGTCCTCACGTACTGAATATATAAATGTTTTTACACTTCATTCAAGTAATATCTTATTTTTAATATGATTAAACACTGATTTTGTACAAAATTTTTTCCATAAGTATTGAACAAATTTTGGAACAAAAACCAAATTTAGGATGTCCCATAAGTATNAGGATGCACTTCCCTTCCTCTTATCTATGCCCAATATAAACTAGTGCAGTTATGTTTTGGATAGAATTAACAATTGTATCTGGTCTTCCCTACCATCTATTAATGGAGTATTGGGAAAGCTTAACTATAATTTGATGGAAACGGGCCTGTTCACTGAAGATCAGAGATTGCCCAAACAAGTATATACTAATAGTAATTAACTGATGCTATTGGTAAGGGTATCAGGTTGAAGCTTCTCGGATTCGTACTTGCTCCATCCTTACTGCCCATTCCATTGTGGGTTGAACTCATTAAGGGTGTATCAAAAATAACTGATTCACCAGATATGACAAACTATTACATAAAATAACCTTTTTAAATCAAGCAAATTCAAACTTTCACCAACAATTGCTAACATTTTTGGCTATTTTTAGTGGTCTTCTTTGGGCCATTCACTAAAAATGACCGAAAACATAATCACTTAGTTGATTAAAGTTTAGATTTTGCTGCTTTAAAAAAAGGTAAATCTTAAGAATTTTATCATTCATAAAGTGTAATGTTAATGTAATTTTATAATTAGGATTATTCAATAATCAAACATTTATAAAATTATTTTACAAGGTATTTCGGGTAGTGGCACTTGTTCCTGTCCGATTTCCATAATTGGTTCTTCCAGAATCGGCTCTTCTTCGATGGTCATCATCGGTGGCATCTCGCCAGACGGCAACGATACGGATTTCCTAAAATATACATCATCCGTTGGAGAATGGAATAAAACGTTTTGTATCTCGTCTATATCACCTAGTCCTGCTATATCGATTAGGTTGAGTTTGGTCAACCTAACGATACAGCAATAGGCTCTTCTTGTTGAGAATTCTTGGATACCTTTGGTCATAAATGCACAAACCCAAGTGTGGAAGAAGTTATCAGTTAATTCTTGCCAAATCTGTGTAAATTTTGAGCTTTTTTTAAGGCTTTGAGCAGACCACAATATATTGAATCAGCATTAATTAAGCGGGGTCTTACTGTATTTAAGAGGTCACTTAGCTCAATCTTGTTAGACTATTACAGTGATGTCATAGGTACTCTGATAAAAACTGTAGGAAAAAAAACTGTGCCGCATTTAATAAATGTTGCATTTCTGATGCTTCAAATGACACTGAGGATGATTGAATATGGAAAGGTGCATGTGCTATTTCACAAGAGCCTGAGAAAAAGTGATTACATTGATCTTACAGAAAGGCTTGCAACTTCACTACGATTGAAGAAAGTGATATACATAGCATACACACGATATACTGTTGCATAACAGTCAGCAAACATACCTCAGACCGAATCGTAGTAGTAAAGTATCCTCCGTGGGTCTTAACACAACTGGTAACGCATCATCTTATACCATGAGGTGATGCATGATCATTCCCATTCACTTTTCTGTACGTGAATGTCATGTCCATCTATTCCTGATGGGAATAACGGGTCATTTTTACAGCACTACACCACACACTTGCACCATGGACTTGTTTAGAAGATAGCATGCTGCACATTCTGTTTCACTGCTGTCTACATAATTTGATGTGATGATGCCAAATGGTATTGTGTCCATAGTTTGGAACTACTCTGTATAATGATACTTTGCTGTAAATACTAAACAAATTTACATTAACTTTACACCTTAAAAAAAAATGTGGGAGGCAAGCTTGTTGAAATGAGGGTGTGCATTATATGCCAGTAAATATGGTATATTATTTGAAGTGATTTAAAAAACTCCAGAGGCATTTCTATAATAAAACACAATTTTAATCACAAACTGAAAAAAAAGGCCAAAATTTTGCATTTTTCTGAAGTTTGAGAGCACAAATTATTATTTTAAAAATAGAAATAATCTGCGAAATATTAAAAAATTCATTTATATTAAATAAAATTATATTTTAAAATAAATAAATTTGAAAAATTCCTGTAACAGAACAACAAGTCATAAAATCTATAAATATTTTTAACGCACAAAGTTTAAAAATTTTCTCCGGGTGATACAAAAATGTCCGCGTAATTAGATTCTTGTTTAACTTCTAAGAATTGGAATTGATGAAGATCTGCAATTAAAATTTAATAAAGGAAAATTTTTTATAAATTGTATTAAATTGAAGATTTTAAATAGAGGATTACCTAGAATTCTGGCGAAAGCTAGGGAAGCGAAGTAACGAGAATGCCGCAACGGTGAAATTACTGCACGAAATGTGACTTTATCCATTGGGCGAGCTTCTAAACCTTTTTTAAACATCGAAAGAACGTCCCTGTGAGTCGGGTGTTTAGTTTTTTCGGGCGATGGCGGCGGCGGGGTGCGAGTTGGCGATACGACGATCACGCAAGCTGTAAAGTAAAAGTTTAAAATATTATATTCTTTACTCTGCTTATTTGTATGCATATTTGTTCTTGTATTAGGCTCCTTGGGATGAGCAGGAGCAGCTATGTTCTCTGGGTCAATAGGATGCACTTCCCTTCCTCTTATCTATGCCCAATATAAACTAGTGCAGTTATGTTTTGGATAGAATTAACAATTGTATCTGGTCTTCCCTACCATCTATTAATGGAGTATTGGGAAAGCTTAACTATAATTTGATGGAAACGGGCCTGTTCACTGAAGATCAGAGATTGCCCAAACAAGTATATACTAATAGTAATTAACTGATGCTATTGGTAAGGGTATCAGGTTGAAGCTTCTCGGATTCGTACTTGCTCCATCCTTACTGCCCATTCCATTGTGGGTTGAACTCATTAAGGGTGTATCAAAAATAACTGATTCACCAGATATGACAAACTATTACATAAAATAACCTTTTTAAATCAAGCAAATTCAAACTTTCACCAACAATTGCTAACATTTTTGGCTATTTTTAGTGGTCTTCTTTGGGCCATTCACTAAAAATGACCGAAAACATAATCACTTAGTTGATTAAAGTTTAGATTTTGCTGCTTTAAAAAAAGGTAAATCTTAAGAATTTTATCATTCATAAAGTGTAATGTTAATGTAATTTTATAATTAGGATTATTCAATAATCAAACATTTATAAAATTATTTTACAAGGTATTTCGGGTAGTGGCACTTGTTCCTGTCCGATTTCCATAATTGGTTCTTCCAGAATCGGCTCTTCTTCGATGGTCATCATCGGTGGCATCTCGCCAGACGGCAACGATACGGATTTCCTAAAATATACATCATCCGTTGGAGAATGGAATAAAACGTTTTGTATCTTTGCAAGCGACTTACCCTAAAGAAGGTTTCTTTGATATGTCGGGCATTATTGCACTGATATCTGTCAGAGACACGGGAGTTATCACTAGAGCTTCTCTATCTTTCTCTTGAAGCGACTTTTTACGCAACATTTCTATCGGAACCTCTTCTTCTTCCTAAATAAAAGCCATGATCATTCTCTAATCGATCCGCTTTCTTTAAAAAATTGACATAAAATTGGACGTTCCTTACTGGTAATCTCTCAACAGGCCTCGGAGGTGGCGCTTCCGAAACTGGAGTAGGCTCTTCCGTTTCTGTCGGAGAAAGTAACATCAATTAATTGCTTAATTCAGTAACAAGTTTATAACCTTAAGTAACGAACCAGGAGTACTCTCTTCGATGGTATAAGCCCAAACGGGGTCGAGCGGTTCGGGAAGAGTTCGTAAATTTTTCCAGAATTCTCTTATTTTAGAAGATCCAATCCCTATCAAAGTATAGAATTTCAGGTTTTCTATCAAAATCACACAATTATATGAATGATACTCACGCAATCCAGGTTCTCTGAAGAGCACGTCGACAGATTTCTGAAGTGATGGATAGGTCTATAAAACAGGTAATCGGATTAATTATAATGATAATTTCTATGATAAATTATAAATTTACTCTCTTACAAGAGGCTGCATTTGTTTATACGAAGTGACGATATTGTTCTTAAACTCTTTGGCGGAAATAACGGTCTCTTCATCATGGATTAAGAGACGTCGACGGGGTCTCTTGCGTGTTTGGACTGCGGGTTCTAACTCAAACTCGTTTATATCCTCTCTCCTCTGTACAATTTTTGGAATTACTAATTGCTGCATCTTATTTTAAGTATTTAAGACACTTACCTTTCTTCTCGGTCTTGGTGCTCCTCGTGTATCGTGTACTGGAGTTTCTTCCGGAAGAAGAGGTGGAGCCTTCTCAGGTCGTCTCGGAATTTTTGGAGATAATCGAGCAGGTGTCGTCTCTTTAGGTAAAGGGGTGACTTCTTGAAGCAGTCTTCTAGAATTTTTAATTGTGAAATGAGATATGCATTAACTAAGCATCGAATACATCTTAACTGTAATTAATTACCTCGGTGATGGTGATTCTAAAGGAATTTTTATCAGCATTTGCTCTTCTGGAAGCAGCTGCTCGGTAACGGCTTCTAAATCTTGGAACGGAGGCAATTCTTCAATTCCTGGAAGCTGTAACATTTGAATATTGAAATTAGAATTAAATTAAAGTTTCAAATAATACTGGAACTTATTATTGATCTAGAATTTGATTTATTTAATGTATAATTTGAATTAGAGGTAGGCAGTGTCGACATTTTGCATTTTAATACATGCAACAGTATGTATCGCACACACTTTGTAGGACCTCTATGGCTTGCTTCTAGTTGGAATAATGAGAACCAGTATGGTTCCATGCAGGGTGGTGACAAAAATCTCCAACCAGTTACTATGTGAACAGGTGAAACCACTAAACATATGCCAATTAATTAAATCGGGATTGTGCCAAATGATGGGGCATACCCTCTCCTGAGGTAAAAGGACACGCTATTTCACCCTTTCCATTAAAAGGGGTGATAATTACATCATTTTATGACATGGTACCAATTTAAGTATGAAATTCACAATAGTTGCTGTATTGGTTTCCACAATATTTAATTAACTCCCCATTTTCTAGAGCTTGAATTAATTCCAATTAAATCTTTCCTTCTGCATATTATTAAGTAATTTAAATGTATTCTAATGGTTAAAATATTTATACAGAACAACACCATCTATCTTAAAGCCAAATTAAATATTAAATTAATTAAATTATAGCCAAAAATTTGAAGTAAACACATTCAGCCATGTTAAAAATATGAACTGAATTACCTCAACCTCTTCACGCATTGAAGGAATTACGGGCGGTTCCCGTATAGTGATTTCACTAGGTGGTGCGGTCATTGGAGAAACTGCATTTAAATGATTTAAAATTAACATTTATTTAAATAATTAAGTTAATGTATGCTTAAAAATGATAAGTAACCAAATCTTTCTTCTCTCCTCAATCTGTCGACCGATTCCGCTTCCGAACTTCGCGGCGTTAAAACGGGGAAGAACTCATAACTAGGAATCACCAAAGAAACCGTTTCCTCGGAAAAGCGACCGAATTCCGGATTCACATTGGCTTCCATAGGATCCTCCAGAGTAACGGCCGGATATCTAGAATTTACTGTATTGAGATAATTATCTCGAGAATTGTTTAATTAGAAATACGTTGATCCTTACTTGATTTGAAGTTGTTTTTCATCTTTCTTAATTTCGGGTTTCGTCGTGTATAAACCTTCTTGAAGTATCCTGGTGTCGTCTTTCATGGAAAAGAGTGCATAAAGTTTTATCTAGAAAATATCCTGTGAATTATCTAGTTCTATAACTGGCCATCATTGTAATGTATGTAACAAATTCTTGCATGCACATTTTGAAAATGGCCAATTTAGAATTAGATGAGTCATAAATAAATTCTAACATACAAATTATAATTAATATTAAAAAGAGAGAGAGTCTAGAGACAAAAATTTGCATATATATTGATAGATTGTTGAGAAATAACAATGCTCTGTAGAAGAGATTGAAAGTCTTTGACTTGATTCTCTAGAATGGCATGTCAATCTAGAGATTCAAGTCCATTCTAAGCATTGCTAAAGCATTCAATGGCTTTCACATGCCATTCTAAGGGCACTCCAAAGCATTCAATGGCTTTCACATGCCATTCTAAGGCACTCCAAAATGGCTTTCACATGCCATTCTAAGGCACTCCAAAGCATTCAATGGCTTTCACACGCCATTCTAAGGCACTCCAAAGCATTCAATGGCTTTCACACGCCATCCATAGCGTGCCAAAGTCTTGCCCCTGTACATCATACTTCTCCTGATAACAATCGAGTTATGCCGATCATCTAACACGTTCTCTAGATTAACGGACGACAGTGGGAATGTCCAGGTCCAATTTGGAAACAGAAGCCAAATTACTTACCTAATAAGTATACGTGCTGTTTTCTAAAGACATAAATGACTCCAAACATCAATTTGGAACTAAGATACAAAGAGAATCTCGAAGATTTCTTCCCAGTTTGGGCAGAAAGGCGATGTAAAATGTGATCTATAATGTCGGAACTTATAAAAAAAATAATAAATGTATATATTAATATCAAATAAATGTAATTTTAATGTATTTCTAATCGGTAGACTCACCATATTTTGTCGACGTTGACAGTGGCGTAGTCTCTCCTCGTCAGAAGTTTCGGATTAGTTGCCGCCAACCTGAAAAATTCGCATTTTAATTTAATTAATACGCGAGTTGCCTCGCCACGTGGAGTTTCCTGCATTAGTAATTACCACCTAAATAGGGGGATTTCCCCCGTAGAAAGTCCTCCCCATCGGCCGATCGTCCAAGAAAAAAAGAGGCTTTTTTAACGACGTGTTCGACCTGGTGAAGGTGGTGGACCTAACGTGAGGATTTATTATCAGAGGTGCCACACGAACGTGTTGACAGTGACACGTGGTACCGCGTGACACTCCCAGCACGTTAGCGTTGCTACATAAGCCCATAGCTGCCAATTACAGGGGTTTCTAATTCTGGTCTTGTGATGTGGAGTGGATGTTTTTGCAAAAATTCAAATCCAAAAGTTCCTTCTTCCTTTATTGTTTAAGATTACACTGTATTTTGCAATACAAAAAGTCTCGACCCATTTTCGTGAAAATGATAACGAAATCGTTTGTTTCCAAGTCGCGCGAAGCATGCTGACCCAAAAAAAGATTCGCTGTGCTTTGCGTACGTTTGAATGGTTTAACAAACACGAATGTACAGTACCATCAAACCTCTATGGCTTGCTTCTAGTTGGAATAATGAGAACCAGTATGGTTCCATGCAGGGTGGTGACAAAAATCTCCAACCAGTTACTATGTGAACAGGTGAANCCTTTATCGTTTACGATTATCCTGTATTTTGCAATACGAAATCGTTTGTTTGCAAGTCGTGCGAAGCATGCTGACCCAAAAAAAGATTCGCTGTGCTTTGCGTACGTTTGAATGGTTTAACAAACACGAATGTACAGTACCATCAAATCCTCCTGTTCCGTAACTTTCAAGAGATGGTGACTCATTGCTTGGCGGGTGGCACAGTCCTCTCTTCCTCCAGCTTACGTAACACACTATGCACGTTTTACGACTTTGCAACGAAGGACCTCTCATATTGTCGGTTGTGGCACATTGAGCACCCGTTTAATCCTCTGATTGATGATGTAGACTCCGTGTTACTGCACGGTGGATTTCCCGGAAGGTTGTACTGTACATCGCGTACGCCTGAATTTGTTAACTTGACAGTCCGATAATGGCCCCGGTAGGAGCAGACTTCCCGAATTTCATGGTGAAGTTTGTCTATACTTTCGTGTACGTTAATCTACCGAAACATGAGCAAACAGCCGCGATCCTTTCTTCTCGCATCAGCACGTTTCACGCGACTTTACAATCACCCCGTATATTGTCCTTTACTAGTTTTTATTTCATATCCGAAAAGGTATGGCTGCCGGATAAATAAAAATTTCTTGTATCTTCTATTAACTATAATATAGCCGAATTAAACGCTGTAAGAGCGTTGGAAAGACCAGCCAGGAGCAGCGAGATGCAGTGTTAAATGTGGGTACATAAATAGGTGATCGTAATTAAATTGTTTTTTGTTGAAGGGTTGATCCTTGCTCCTATGGAATTTTACATTTTTCACTCCTAATAATGCTAAAAAATCAATGAAAGAATGTAATGATCCCACATTTTCTGGATTCAGTGTTAATATTCCCACTAAAAACTACCAAAATCAAATCTTCAAAATCTTTTAGTTTCATAAAAATGCGACGGACATACATACATACATACATACATACACTGTATATATATATATATTAAAATATATATATATTTTTTAACTCTCCGCCCTGTGGACACTAAGAGGGCCTCTTTTTTGTAGACCCATAATGGGTATGGCTAAGCCCACAATGGGGCGACCGGATGGTGAAGGACGGGGCCCGACATACCCGGACGGATCACACCCCCGAAAAGTTTCTGGGGATTATTCGACCCTGGGTCCCCCAGAGCGGTAGGCTGCCACCTTGACCGTTCGGCCATCCTGCCTTCGGACAGACATACTGTACATACATACATGACAGACAGACAGACAAACAGACAAACACGCAGAACAGTTAAAAAATCGACGAAAGAAATAATTTATGCTATTTTCTCATTTGTTTACTTAAAGATAATTCAAAATTGTTCACTTAACTTACAATAATCACATTAAATCGTTATAAAAAAATTATTATTTAAATGTTATGAAGATGTAAAATAACTTACCATATAATCCCGAACTTTCCTCCTCTTTTACGGAGAATTTCTTGAGCATAAAACATGTTTAACGAAGGTTATTTAGTGAATAAATTAATTAATTGGAATTCTATAGAACCGAATCGTTGATCCTTCGACTAATTTTTGGCGGGAGTAACGACTTTTCCCGCGTAAAACATTTTATTTTATTAAATATTTAAATCATCAAAAACTGTTACGACTTAACGAATATTAATTTAAATTTATTTAAATTATATAAAAATATAAATTAAAACTTTAAAATGGTTTCGAGTTTCTGTAATTAAAAAAAAATTTTAATTAATTAATTAGTGATATAATTTAACCACACGGCGGCGCTTTTTTGAAAGTTTGAAAAATTTACGAGATTTTTCGGCGTAAATTTTATTTAATTAAATATTTAAATCGTCATAAACTATATAATAATATATAAATACGAAAAATAGAATTTAAATTCTATTTTAAAATGTAAATAAAAATTTTTAAATGGAAGTTTTCTAAATTGGTAAATATTTTTTATCTGGCAACACTTGAGCACGGAAAGATGGTAATGGCCTCAAGTAGAGTTAATGCGTCAAGTTGCCGATAGCTGGCGTTAGAGTCGCACTGCGGCGAGAAGAAGTTGGTTTATCTATAAGAAGAGTTTATAATTGATATTTTTTTTCTTCGGCCTTATTCCTATCTACTGTTATAGTCGGTTTCATTCGAAAATATATGGATACAACACTTTTTGAGCTTTTAAAATCGACGTTTTGTGCAAAAAAGAACATCTGTTTACACGTGTTCCAAACAGAACAAAACATATCCATTGCAGTCTGTCTCAGCCAATGAAGAGCTACGATTGAGTAACGCGACTTCCAGAATGTAAGGGGGTGGTTTTGTTTTTATTATGTCATTTTGTTGTTCTGTTGGAACAGAGATATTTTGATGTTAAAATGTTGTTTACTAGTACACATTTTATTATACAGTGCATTTCAGTGTTATAATTGAGTGAAAATGGATAAAAACGGTTTGATAAGTGTAGAAGGCGGCAATGTTGGATCTAGAAAGAAACCTAAAACTATTGGAGTACGGGCAAANAACACGTTTTACTCACCGTCGGCGTCAGTCGTTCGTCGACTTTAACACGCGTTTTGGACCGATTGTTACGTTCGAAAACTTCGGCATTATCCTTTTTCGTCGATAATTCTTTCTTTTTTTCATCGTCGCGACGCTCTTCCTCCGAAAGAAACCTAAAACTATTGGAGTACGGGCAAAGAAGAAAATACAAAAATACAGTGCTCCTTTAGGACGAGATTTGAGGAGCCAGTCGAGCAACTAACTACTTGTAGGGCACTCTCTGTCAGCTGACCAAGAAAAAAAAAAGACATTGAATCACTTTTATATGATGAAAGTTTTTCGTGGTATAAACAAGTGTTACGAAACGGAACCAAGCTTGAAGCAAATGACACGGAAAACGAAGAAAATAATGAGAACCTGTGCGATTGTTTGGGAGGAGACATTTATTGTTCATTCCTATTTTGTCAAATGCCATGGTTTTAAGTCAAAGTAGTAGCCAGTATAACAAAGTGAAAAAGAATATAGTGGCCAGGCAAAAGAAGACACATCCACTCTGTCCAAGCAAAAAGAAACATGTCCATATTTTAATGTTATATAATTAAATACTAACTATATTCCTATCAAAAACTGCCTTCAAATATTAATGTTAGATACAAAATGAAAAAAAAAAATAAATAAATAATAAAGTTTTACTGGTGTGAGGTGTAAAATAAATTCAACAACAGTTTTGTTTTGCGTTTTTGCAACAATTGTTTAGAGTGGACTTGTTTGCTTTTGCATGGCACCTCCACAATTATATTTTCGATTTAATTTATCCAGGTTTTAAATAGAGATCTGTCTATAACTGTTAATGCTATATATTGTGAATGAAAGTTTTGTACATAATGTTCTGTGTATAATATGTCTGTTTATTAAATAGGTAATGGCATTTTACTGTTTTGTTTTATTACATATGTATGACAATTAGCAAAACCATAGCTTATCCTCCGATACATCTAAATAGCCATAGAAATTTAATCCAGATAAAAACACACTATTTTTTAAAATAATTTATTAACTCTAACACTACATAAAGTGTTATATACAATTTCAGTATAGTGAGAAATAGTATTTGGGATAAAATAGTTCTGTATTTGACAGGAGAAATTAATTTCTTATGACACACATTGGCTCTATGTATTTTGGTAATTTATATAATATTTTGCACTATCAAAAGTAGAATATGAATGATTTATTAATTAATAGCCTACTGTCCTTTTTTTATATAGGTTTAAAACATCACTATCATGTCTTTCTTTTAGACTCAATGCCATCACTAATCACTATCAATATCTAACAGTACTGTCCGAACTCTCGCCATCCTACGACTCATCATCCTCTAATTACCTCTGTTATTATGTGTCTGTAAATATGTTGAATATGTTGTCTAAATAGTTGAAATGTCCACTTTTTCCTCTAACAGCCTACATTTGAAATTGACTTTTAATCCCCCTCTTTAATAAACACAATATAAATTGTGAATAACATATATTATAGCTCCTTTCTCACTGAAAACTACAATAATTCACCTAATATTATGGGCTTAACCTTGATAAATTCCAAAACCACCCAAATCCCCTATTTTTGTAACGCTTTAAATCTATTCTATCCTAACACATGGTTTAACATTTCTATACATTTCCATAATTAATTGTATATAATTTTCATCGACCTCTTTTATTCCTGGTTTAGGGTTCTAGGGAATCCCGAGGCCTCCCGTATTAATAATGTATATACAGGCTTAACTATACATTTTTTGATTACATTTTCTTACCCTTAACGAAAACGCCCAAAAATATTTAAAAATGAACACAAATTATAAGCAAAAAGACAGTCTAATCAACGACGTTTACGAATAAAATGCCCCGAAAACACCGCCGTGTCCATCGGAGAGAAAAGCTGTAGTTGTTTCCAAGAAGAAACAAGTTGATCTCTCAGTAGAACACGTGTTTTACAGTATCGAATGCACGTGTTATGTTGTTTACATTTGAATTTTGATTTTTTTAAGGTACTAGTCCACTTTTTCTAAGTATGTCGAAAGCAATGATCGACTGTCCAGTACTTATGACGACAGTGACAGAGGTACGATAACGTATACATTTTTTTATACATGAAATAAAGGTTAAATTTCAGATACGTATACTGTCATGGCGACACTTCCTGTTGCGACTAGTCTCGCTCCCCACGCCTTGGCTGTTTGGTGCCGAGAGTTGTCACGTGACGCCCCTACCGGACTGGATCGTCGCGTGATATACACTAACTTAACTTATACTATAATAACGACGACGACTACTACTAACTTTACTATAAAATTCTACGCGCGAAATACCAACGCGATAACAATAACCCGTACGGATAAATAAATATATTAAATCTAAACGATTTATATATATGTTAAACACGTTTTACTCACCGTCGGCGTCAGTCGTTCGTCGACTTTAACACGCGTTTTGGACCGATTGTTACGTTCGAAAACTTCGGCATTATCCTTTTTCGTCGATAATTCTTTNGTGGAGGGTCCTCCTCCACTCCTGTCGCGTTTTCGCTTACAAACAAACAGAACCACCAGCCAAGCCAACGGGCATGCAGATGGTGAGGCTTCTGGATCGAACATTTCTGACCCGCACTCGAACCCGGATCCTCCAGCCACACAGATATCTTTACTACCTTAATTTAAATAATAAAATCATTAAATTATCCTTAATAAATAAATTAAAATTCGCCAGTAATTTACATAATTAATAACTTACAAAAGATTACTATTGTTTTTTTTAAATTTTATTTTCTAATCATAAAAAATAACACACAAAACGCATATAAAACAAGAATTTTATTTCTTTTTTTTTTCTCTCCCTTTTTACTGATAACAAATGAACAGCAATGTGCACATTTCTGCATATCAACGATATATATATATATATATTATAAGATAAATATTATTATAAATAATTATCCATAATGGAAATTAAAAAAAGAACATGGAAATGTCTCTTTAAATATACTAATATTACTCGCTACGTACTTGTAATTTACCAATTATTCTACTATAAATAACTATGAATATAATCACCATGCATGCACTATCACAACAAATAATGTTTCACTAATTCAAATATACTACTATATTGCTTGCCTTGTGTCTTATATGACACAGTATTTTACAGGTACAACTTATTTATTATACAGTGTATATATATATATATAAGAATATTTAAGATCTGTATAATTAACCTCAGAAGAATTCGAACAATTTTCTTACTGTCGTAATTATGTGTTTATATATTAGTTTTTCGTATTAATAACATTCAACTTTTTAATGGTTCTATATATGTATATACACACGCAGAGCCATTTATAATTCTAATATATCTACATATATATATATATATATTATTTAAATCACTAATAATTCTATATATATGTACAGGTATATGATATGACGTAAGGCAACGTCATACTTTTGAAAAATAGGTGGTCACATGTTTTTTTGGTTGTGGCATTCTGTAAAGTTAGGGCACTTTTAAAATGATGTTCGTTCTTTTCGTTCATTGGCTGGAAGCGAGAAACGATAGCCAATGGCGGGTACGAGTACAGATGTACTCTCTTGTTTTAGTATTAGGTTCACGTGCTGTTATAGAAATTCCTATATCCTGTTTTCCACAGATCCTGTACTTTCGAGTGTCGTGTGAAACGGGCTTTACGTTACATAAAAAGAGGGGTTCCATACTTGCTGGGACATTTTAAATAATCTAATTTAATCTGAGTTATTAGTATTTATTTTTCGACTTCCAACCAATCAACAGTAAGAACGTATGATTTTAGTGGATTCTAATTATTATCAAAATGCCACGACTAAAAATAAAATTCGCGTGAAGAAGCTGAATACGAGTTGACTCCCCCCTATAACACTGTTGATAATTCCGTTTTATATGAATTCCATATTGTACGAGTCACTTAGATTTTACAAATACTTGAGCCGTTCGCAGCCAGGCACACGTATTTGTAAAATCTAAGTGATTCGTACAACATGGAATTCATATAAAACGGAATTAACAACAGTGTTATAGGGTGGGAGTCAAACTGTACTTTTAATTTACTGTCTGAAAAATGTCTTCCGGTATATTACACTTTTAGTATTTACATACATATATGTAGAATTATTAATAAATTAAACGATTTAAGTAATATATTGATTAAGATTTCATGCTTAATAAAAATTGAAGAAAAAGCAGAAAATATAAAAGTGCCAATCAATTTTTGAGGTAGAATACTGAATAAGTGAGGAATGCTGTCCATTTATGTAATTATTCATTTAAAAGTTTCGTTTCCTACAGCTTAAATAATTATTTTAAAAAGAGACCATTAATAATTTGATAATAATGAAAGTTGACTAGGAGCGATGAACCTGGGCATCCACAGATGGGGACAAAAAAGGTGATTGAGAAATATCCCTTGGCCGTAGAGATGCTTTGCCTGTCTGTCTGTCTGTCTGTACTGATTCAATCCTACATTCTATAAACAACAAGTGAAAATTTATTGATGTAATTATTTTTCTCCAAGCCATCCTGGAAAATTTTCTGTGGACGCCCATTGTAATGAGTAAAGGAATTTTAATCCTATTTTCAAATAAGGTTGTATTTTTAAGTAATGAAGGAAGCTTTTTAAATGCGTATGAATGTAAAAACAAATGAATCTTCAGACAGATTTAAGTTGTACCTCTTAACGACTAGAAGTTTCACTTGAGTTATAGTCCTGGAACACTACAATTCTCTAACAGTTTATCACACATTCCGACATCGATGCATTGTTTAAATATATTAAAATGTACACCTATAAAATAACGTGTATGTTCGTTAATTCGTCAAAGAAAGCATCTGTTTTAATGTTAGAAATGATAAACATCCTTTAAACAGTTCAATTTCCTTTTTTAAAATGTTTTGTACGAGCAAAGATTAAACAAAAAAAAAAGAAAAAAGTCGATCATAATAATATACTTTGTCATCCAAAAATTCGAAGATAATACATAGACTAGACTTAAATACTCCTCCCCTCCGTGAATTCGAGTGATGGGCTTCATTTTATTTTCTTCTCAAAGGGCTTTGATAGTTTGAGAAAATACTCCTTTTTTGAAATCAAGAGCGTGACTAAGCCCTTGTTTAATTGTACATAAATAAAGAAATTCTTTAAAATATATCTAAGGGGCCAACTTTTCCAGATCAAAAAGTTCTTCACAGAAGAAAAAATCAATCTAAGTAAATATCCTCACCGAAGTGAGAAACAGGACGGCAAAAATACCCGATTTTTTCCAATTTAGCACCAATCGCTACAGGGTCTACAAGCGGAACCCCTTATTTTTTTAGTGCCTTGCGGTGAAAATTCGTTTGATTTCAATTGTTAAATACGTTTCGGTCCAGTTTTAATTATAGAGTAACTTTAAAAGACACTATATCCATGGGCTCTAAAGAGATGCTTTCTATTTTCTGATTGGTTTCAACGTCTTGCGTGCCGGTCAGGGAGGTCTTACGTATAGAATATATTTGAATTTCCTTAAAAGAGCTTACAATACCGCCATTTTTCTCTAGTGGTTTCGCTGTGGGATTATCGATGTAACAGGTGACCGCTTTCCTGTGTAAAATAAGCAAACTGTTATTAGAGGGTATAGAAAAGTTATGGCTAACGGGAAGAGTTCGGAAGTTAAGAAGATGCATATCGCTGGTGAATGGATGCTCTAAGAATACTAAACTATTTCGAATATTCGAATTGGAATCATCGGAAACCAATAAAACAGCGGGATACATTAATGTATTAGAGAGCGTGTGAGAGAGCCACGATAAATTTGGGACGTCATCCGATGAGATTATATCACCCCTAGATTCTAAAATCATCCAGAATTTTTCGTTGGTTTTCTTGTTATCCATAACACCTTCGCCCAGCCCTCGACTATCGTCGTATCTCATTCTTCTGTCGAGCATAATTTCGAGGACGCCATTTTCGGGGAGGGTCACACCGTGTGCATGAGATACGAGCACGTTAAATCTCATATTGGAATCTTCTATATAAACTGCCGAAGTTACGGGATAATAATTTCCTTCTAGCGGTATTTCGAAGTTATAAATTCTCTTCAGCATTTGGTAACCATTTCCATCGGTGTAAAACGAATGCTCTGTTTCAATGTTAGTTTGAAGCTTCAGTATCATTTCTATTTCGGTAATCGATTGCTGCGAGAGATCGTAAGTGGCTTCTAATTCTACGCCCATTCCGAGGGCTCCTTTTGTGTGATAGACTCTTCCTGTTAAAGAAAGATATCCTGAGTAAATTGCCGTCACTTCGGATACCAAATGGCCACGAACCACTCTTATTATAGGAAATCTTCCGGTTATGTTTTTTATGGGATCTTGTGGATCCGGTTGAAAGAGGTAGGCACCACTCCTATATTCTCGTGACTGATAAGCTTGAAAAAATGCTATTACTTTAGTATAAATACGTGGCTCTATTAGTTTAAGGTGAGAAAGTAAACCCGTTTGCTTGGAGAAAGTTGCAGAAATGAACGGTGACGTCAAGATTATGTCTTCGTTAACAGGATTATGAAATTTGAATACCGAGTGACGTAGATGATGGGAGGTGGCATCGTTGAGTATTACAGAAACCGTAGATCTGTACAAATCGTCCTGAGATTCTCTCGATTCAATTATAGTATACGTGCTAAGAGAAAGAGGAGGAAGATCCACAATGAAACATACTTCGTATAAATTGCTTAATATATCAACGGTGCCATTCCATATTGGATTAATCTGGATTTTAATTGGATTATTATTTGGATCTAATATTTTTATGTGCGGTGATTTGACTACCACACGTACGGCCTCTTGTCGTGTTTGGCTTACACTATTATATAATATCAACTTTTTGCCAGTAGAAGAGGAAAAATGGAGAGGGATTTTCTTTGGTAGTGAGTCAAACGATGATCGTTCGAAATCTGGGTATAGATTTGTGGTAAGTGGTCGTTTTAACGAATGTTGCTGAAGATTTTTAAAAAGAAGATACTGCATCGAGTGTGATATGACACCCGACACTTCTTGCAAGCTTCGATATAGTCGATTTCCATAATCGGCCATAACTACTTCTTTGGATGTACCTGTAATTGCATCGTGATGTTGAAAAAGGCCTAAATTATCTCTTCCAAATGTTAGATATTTATAGTCTTGATCTAATTTTTGCAAGAGATGTGTATATCCCCTCTGCCTTACGTAAGCGCGGGAGAGGGTATACAGTATTTCTGCAGATCGTAGCCAATGTTCTAGCTCTCGACAAAGATGTTTCCAGTAAGGTCGGGTGGTAAAATAACCAGTCCAATACGAGGGCCTTCCATCAGCATAAATATCTCCGTAAGGAAAGAAATCCCCGGAAAGACTAGAAAACTTCTTTGATCGTTTCCTGATTTCTTCAAAGTAATCATTTAACGTGCCGAAATCGACTTTTGCATACCAATCCTTTCTAGAATTAATATAATCAAAAAGTTTTCGATAGTTAATATGTTGTTGGTCCCATTCGGTATCGTAATTATATCTAAAATCATCACCCAGAGGTACTAGTGCTACATTATGAGGAAACAAAGATCCAATTCGGCCATATTGTCCTAAGAGCAATTCGGCCCTTTCCTGTATATTTTTCTCATTGATTTGGGATGCTCTGCTTTCTGAATATTCTCCTAAGATTTTCCGAAAATCGAATTGTAAACAAACATTAGTATCGGGGCCGCAAGTATGTTTGATACTATAAAGATCAAAGGGTGCCATATGGCAAAGGATATCTTGAGTATTTTTCAGATCGGCCAAAGGTGATGCGGAGATCTGTTTCCATATAAATTCTAATTGATTCTTTTCTGCCAAATACTGCTTCCAAGCGTAATGAGTTCTTTGAATAACCATATTTCGGATTCCGGATTCTCTTAGAAGATAGGGAATGGTTCCAGAATGGCCGAATGGATCTATTGACCAACCGTTAGATGGAGTGACATTTAGTGTTAATTTCAACCACTGATGACCTTCGATTAATTGGTCAATTATAGAATAATAATGAGCCGATGCTTCGTCTGTCATGACCCAACCTCCAGTGCCAAATTCCAATTGCTTTCTGTGAAGGATTTCCTTAATTTGTTTCATTACTTCGGGCCGACCTTTCAAACTAGAAGTAAAGAAAAATATTTATGATCATGAAAAAAATTATTAATAGAATATAATTAAAGAAATTAAAAAAAAACAGCATATTGCGTTTAAAACTGTAAGTTAAATTATCATTATAGCCTTCACTTTATAATTTATATCTTTTTATCTCGGAAGGGACTGACTAGAAAGATCCTGCAATGTTTCCCTCCTCTGGATGTCCCTAGGTGCCATCTTAGTCAAGATTAAGATATACGACAAAATTAGAAGACATAAACACCTGTATCTATGGCAACTCGTGGCTCTTGTTCAGGTTAGTACACCTGCAAATCGTTAGTTACTTCCGATCTCTCCCTTTTCTTCGCCGGTTGGAAGACAATAGCAAAGAGGAGGGAAAGTCGTAACGAGATTGTTACAGCGAAGTGAAAATTGCAGGGATTCTATTACCGAGAACTGAAAGAAAAGGAACGTTAAACTGAAAAGTTCGTTATAAATGTGTCGTTGGTTCCTACGGAGAATGGGACGAGAAAAATCTAAAAGTTTGTTACTACGAGGTTCGTTACAGGACATTCCATTATAAAAATCGTAAGAAACATAATTTCTTTTTAATTTAAACTAGTCGAACTTTCCATATTTGAAACTTTCTTCGTTGGCATCCAATAGCTGATAATTCAGCAGTTTCTAACATCTGCTTGTTTCAGAGAGTGATAATATTATAGATAACCAGTCAGTGACGTAACTACTATTGTGCAGTTGGTGCGGCTGCAACAGGATCCGAACTCGATAAGGGCCTTCGACAGAAATAAAACCATTAATTTACATAATTTTCCACCTCTGACTTATAAATACATGTCTATAAAAGTGTACTGTACATTACAGAATTCTTCACTGTATTTAATAAAAATTGTATAATTAATGCTATTTTAAGCATTTCATTTTCTCTATACAGTAACTTATAAATAATTCTGTAACTGTACCCTACAAGAGATATGATACACGACACTTTTTATTTCCCCATCCCCTCGACCTTTAACCTTCAAAATTTAATAGCATCAATGCCCTTTACACACAAGCTACTGTATCAAATAAACGTACCCCATCCTGAGATATTGACGAAACACACACAGGGCTTTGATACGCACAAACACACGGAATTTCTTCCCCTTTTTTCGACTTTTTTGGGTACAGGAAGCCTCAAAGCATGGAGATTTGCAAACATTCTCTCGCTTTAACTGTTTATCGTATAAATTTTGATGGTTAAAGGTCGTGGAGGGTGGTCATTTACGTATCTCGAGTGGATCGGACTTAATGAAAATTCTACTCGTCATTGTCATTTACAATATTTTTAGAAACATTTTTCTACCCTCAAAACTAGACTTGTTTTGCCTTTTTATAATAATTAATAATATAAAAGTTATTTTTTTATATAATATCTCGTAACGGATGGCACCACGCTGTGTCTTAGTGTTTATTAAATCATGAAATTTGGCAAAAAATAAAAAGTTTTTTCTTAATACACAAGAAATACAGCAGGGCCACTTGACCCTTATGGGTCTCCTATTATAAGGTTGCTTTGACAAATTACTATAATATATAAAAATTTCAAACGTAATTACGTAACATACATTATTATATAATATGCAAATTACATATAAAATGTAGAATATATATTAAAAGAAAAATTAAAATGAACTCTTCAATAAACAGTTAACGATAGATTTGAGTTAACTCTTCATTTGAGCATCGATCGATCGATCGATTCGATTGTTTTTGGATCGATATAGTCAATAGTTTTCAAATGTTACAAATTTGCATGAGCATCGATTATTTGAACATGTTTTATTGATTTTTAATTTAATAAAAATTTAATTCGGACGACACAGATATGTTCTTCGAGAAATAAAAAATTATACTGTACGGTCGTACACTTCTTTATTGTGGATAGTGTCACTACTCCAGATCCATTTTTTAAGCAGAAATTCTTATTTGCTACCTTAAAAAAAATCTAGAGAATACCTCGAACTTGCAGGAAAGTAATAAGTGTTGTTAAAATAATAGTAACAAGTGAAGCTGTTGTTGTTTATATGTTGCAGCAAGGGATTGCTTCCCAGAAAGTCTTTCTACGGGAAATTGGCCCTATTTAGGTGTTACAAACGTGAAGAAAAACGGCACGAACCCACGACTAACCACCACTGTTCGGTTGTTTTATCCATTCGGCTACCGGTGGGTGGGGAAGTGAGTTACGTTTTAAAATTTTAGAGATATTTGAAAAGTATTTAACGAAGATTTTTAGACTAAATTAAACATAGAAATGAACATATTCATCGATAAATAGGTAAATTTCAGTTTATTTTTACTCCAAATCGTGATATAACGAATAAATTTTCCCTTATAATTTACGCGTACGGGGGAAAATTTAATCGTTATATCAGTTCAGTGACAACGTAACGTTGAATGCCCTCTATTCCGGCAACGTACCCGCTACTTCATTAATTTATAACGATGGAATCCAAAATAAATCTACACAATTAATTCTAAATCTTCTAATCAAATCGCTCACATCCCGAGGACCTGAAGCATGTCCGGAACCATTTATAATAAGAACCATCAAGCAAATATCCGGGATAGACTGCGTAACGTAGTCTTGATTTCAATTATTAATGTAGCCTAACTAGTGGAGCAAACTTACCTGTCCCACCATTTTGCAAAGAAAGATATTTCTGCCCAAATGAAGGACATATCGTGGTGTCTGTTCAGCTGGTCTGCCATATTATTCAAAATATGGGTAGTTAAAGAGACGTAGTAGCTGTCGAAGGTTCTTAACCAGCCCGGATCGTTATGGGAGTGAGGAAGAACTATCACCTGCAGAATTGAAAAACAAAAGTAGAATTAATGCCACATTAAATATTAGGATATCCCAAAAATCAGTTAACCATTTAAAACATTTTTAAAGAATTACATTAAATTGTTTTTCTTATATCGTATTTAATTAATAACTTAATAATTAGCAACTAAAATAGACATAAGAACGTGATAGTTGGTCGTGGGTTCGCACCTCGCTGACCACGTGGAGTTTTCCGAGTTTATCTTTACGTTTGCAACACCTAAATAGTGGCCAGTTTCCCATAGAAAGTCCTCCCGTGAGGACTTTTCATGCAGAAATAAACCAAACAACACAATATACTATTGTACTGTACACGTAGTTAAAAAAGAAAGGGTGTGCCAAGGGACAGTACGCTGTCGTGTACAAAAGAGAAATCAAAACGTCTACATTTAATTAAGGATCTGCCTCTTAAGTAAGAGGATATTTTAAAAATTCAAGAGGAAGCTGCTAAGGTTTATACTCAAATGCAATGGATCTTATGACGGACCCCACTTAATTTATACAGATAACTTATTAATAGTCATCATCGCCGACTTATTAGCAATTTATTATTAATTATTGTTACGTGTGAATGATAAAACAATAAAAAAGAATAACGTGTAATCGTGTAACATCAGATTTTAAATCATTTATTTCTGATTAATTATTGCAAATAGCTCTTTTGGGTTGTGGATAATAACAAAAATAATAATTTCGTTAATTACTTTAATTAAACCGACTACGAAGGAATCTTTGCAAATCGTTATTATGCTGATAACGTGCAGTAAAAATGAGCAAAAACTAAACAGTAATTACTACAGCACCTACTCGATTAACTAACTTCTACAACGGCATAATTACTTGTAATGAATAGGTTACTAACAAGTATAAATAAAATTGTGCTTTTAATTCCTTTTTTCCCCCTTGGTAATTAAATAAAAGCTCAATATACATATATATATTTTTTCGTTTCTTGTATTGGAAATTGTGAAAAATATTTTTGATTGAAGCCTCAGTCAGTGTGTGATGTTCACCCCTTTCTAAACGTCTTATCAACACGAAATCACACGACGCACCTCGGTTCGAAAGCGAATAAATAACTTTACTGACTTTTATCACCGATCCTATATAATAATCTACTTCAAAATACAGCTCACATCCCAGCAGTGGCCGAGTGGATGGCACCACTGAACAGTGGTCGCGGGTTCGCGCCTCCCCAAACGTCTGATCGGGTGGAGTTTACCGGATTTTCTTTACGTTTGTAAGTTTACCAGGAGGAATCTCCCTTGGCAGAAAACAAATAATAACAGATCACGTTAATTACTTTCACATTAAAACATTTCCAGCAGCGAGTTGCGTGACTTTTCCGGTAAAAGTTTAAAATGGTGTGTGGCGCCGTCTGTTAAGACTTTTTATATTATTAATCATTATAAAATGGCCGAGAAGAGCTATATTTTAAACATTTTTAAATGCTAATAACCAGTAAAATCTTCATTCATTAAGTCCAATTCGTGACCCCCTGTATTTCCCCACCCCTTGACCTTGTATCACCAGAATTTAATAGAATTGAGCCTACTAATGGACAATCTTTCCTGCCAAATTTTCGAAATTTTCGACAAAAGGAAGAGGCGTTATTAAGCTTTAAAGTGGATGAGCAAAATCGCGCCTCCCCCCTCCACACACACAACACACACTAACATCCATACATACAGGGGAAAAACCCCAATTTTCTCGATCGCCATAGTTTCTCGGGAAAGTAAAATTAAATTTATATATATATTTTTTCCATATGCAAAGATCAGATATCTTTAATTCATTAAATTGCCATTATTAGAACGCAAGTAGCATAATACCGGTAGAAGGATTTTATTCGGAATCGGAATGCCATCCTCTTATATAAATAATTACAGTGAGTGAAATACGAGTGAGTAAATTTCATTTAAAGTTTTGAAATTGTTATCATTTTCTAAACTCGTTTTGTAACAAATAATTCGTAAAATGCATAAATATATTAAATTACAAAATGCTATTTTACATTTTCTTCAGAATTCTAAATTAAGAGTACGTCGCTTATTGAGTGAAACTGGAATTAAATTGTTTAATTTTATTCAAAAGTAATTTAATGCCCGCATCTAATAGATAGGACGGAGTAAATTTTGATTATAATTGAATTTTTTTTTTTTTTTAATTTTCACAATTCTAAGAGAAGAAAAACCGACTCGAAACGAAAAACAATAGACTTAAATTTATTTGTAATACAGGAAAGTAACTTGAGAAAAGAATCCCCAAAAATTTTTTATTACATTTTTGGACTCAGGAGACCTTGGAACGTGAAGAAATGCAAAAAATGGTTTCCCCCTATAAGTAAAGATGTTATTGTATGTTTGGGGGGCAAGATTTTATTCACCCACTTTGAAGCTTAACTCCTGTGCCATTGGTCGAAAATTTCTGAAATTTTGCAGGAAATTTAGTGTATAAGAGACATTGATGCTATTATATTTGGTTGTTAAAGGTCGTTGAGTAAGGAGACAGGGGGGGGGAGTCGTGTGTCGTATGATTTTACTCGTTATTAGCATTTACAATTTTTTTAAAAACTCGTGTCTACCTTCAAAATTAAACATTTTGCCAATTTATTATAATTAATAAGATTAAAAGATTTAACAGATGGATCCACACATAATTTTTTAAACTTTTTGCCGAGAAAGTTATGCAACTCTTTAACGCTTTAGATGAACTAAACCCTAAAAGAATTCTTTCCACTTTTACAATTCATTATCTAAATATGGTGATTTCTATTTCTGACCTTCAATAGGTTTCAATTAACATCATCGATTTTCAAACCATTTTCAGATCCTTTTCTTTCCTTGTATTATTGCGAGTGAATTAAAATAAAATTCAAATTTACATACATCCATTTATCAGTCCGAAAGCAATTCATAAGTGTAATAAGTACAGTAAAATCTGAAGCGTAACCTCACTAAGACGGACACTCAAAAGCTATAAAGTCGAAGCTATTTCGGCATTTCTCCATAGAAATATTCTTCATAAAACGATAAACTTTTACTCCCTTTTCGATTCCGTCTTTCACAGTTTTTATTGTATTATGTACGGTACGGTGTTGAATGTAATTAATAATTTAAACAAGTTTCTTATTTATGAATATATAATGTAGAAAATTTAGGTCATTCCAATATATTTTTTTNGTTGCTGGACTTTCCCGGCATTATTTGTTTTCAGGCTGGTTCGGAGATTAAAGGAGTGGGGTCATATTTCCCGAATCAATGGTCCGATTTTCCTAAAATTTTCTAGAAACATTTCTCCCTAATACGCAAACCGCCCTGCAAATTTTCAGAAAATTTCGACAAAAGGTATAGGAGTTATTAAGCTTTAAATTCGATGAACATAATCGCATCCCCATACAAACAAACAGAAAAAGCCATCAACGTCTCGAGGTCAACGGAGACCAAATATGTAAAAATATTTTGGGGGAGGTCAATTTTCGACCGCTCTTCATACTTTCCCCTGTTATATAACAGCTGGAAAAGTATAAAGATAATTTTCAACGTCTTAATCAGTAAAAAAAATGTATGATTTATATCGAGCCATCCGATCACATAATAAACCATGTCAAAGATTTCTTCATCGGTATCAATTCTGTAACTTGATACAGCATTCGTGACATGAATTTGAACTTTACTTTCATGCTGAACTTTCATAATTTTCTACTTTTTTATACTAGAAAACGATAATTTTCGACGTTTTCATCAGTAGCAGATATCCATTATCGTTCCATTCGATCACAAAATGAACGACTCGAAGCTATCTTCCATCGGTATCAAAGCTTATAACAAGATGCAATATAGATGCAAATTTATTCAATTGCTCTCATGATGTATGTACAGTTCAAACCTCGATGTAACGTCCTTCTATATAGTGCCAAGCAAACAATACTCTTGAACAGATATTACCCATAACTATTACTTCGCATCCTTCGTTACTCTGAATTACCAAATTTAGGATCTTGCATTGCAAAAGGCATTGTTATCGCCAAATCCAGTAGCTTGAAACTTTTGTGTAGGAAACTTTTCGGTGTTTGAGACTTTTTGCAAATATTTCGGGGCCCCACTAATATAACTTTTTTTTTTCCCAGGCCCCGCAAAACCTCCAGCTTTATCTGCCAAGAAAGGCCTCGATTTTAAAGACGAATTTGTACCACAGGAAAGATCTGACAGTCGAATAAATATTGAAAATTCCCCGAATCAGCTCGAATATTGCATAAATTTTTGATAAGTTATTGCTGTCAGGAGCTAAAATATTTGGTTTAATAAAAGTAAAAAATCAATAGAAAACGTTAAAGTAGGTCACTATTATGTCCTTGAACCTTATTGAGTGATCGATTGGCGGAAGAAGCCATTCTGGGTATTCTTAATGGAAAAAATTTGATTAGAACTTTGTTTTCATTAATAGCCCTTCGGATAAATTATCGACGATGCACGGATCTGCATATTTTTAACTATCAAATTACAAATATATAATTTTAATGAAAACGGAGAGTTACATTAGAATTTGCAAGAGATAAACTCCATATTCATAAAGGGAACTTCGTACTCATAAAATATTTATTAAGTAAATTACATTAGACACATGCGACTGTCAGCGTATATTTAACGTTATACGGGGAGAAGAAAGTTTAAATGCATTTTAAGTATGACGTGAAATTAGTAAGGAATCTTCTCCGCTCACTTGACCTAGTGAATTACGACACTAACCGATAATAAAGTGCAATAATGCTTCCCCACTTAACGGTTACGCTCTGTACCCTTCTACTAAACCCAACAGATGATGACATTTTATTTCCTGTTGTGACAGTGTATTACACATTTTCCTCGCTTTGTAAATATAGCAATTTTTGCTTCTTTAACCAAGTAAATAAACGAATTAGACTGATAAATCTAACAAAGGTGAAGCCATTGTGTCGCAAGATGCTATACAAGATATTTCATCCATAACTCTTCCATATACAATGATTTTTTAAGAGGAAGTAAGAGAAAAAAAATCTGAAGGGACTCATCTCATAGTGCAGTGATTCCCAAAATGGGCGCTCCACCCCGTTGAAAATACTCAAGAGGCCTCAAAAGGCAAGCGGGAGTGGTAGGGGTATTGGAAGACAATGGGGAGAAAATTTATGTTGAAAAAAACAATATATACAGTATATATAAAGGGGGTAGTTTAATAAAAGTAGTTAAATCTATTATATAATTCAGGTGTCGAATCCGCAAACTGTTTATGTCATTCGTTCAATTTATGTCATTAAAAGTTACCTGCAGGTGTTAAACGCATTACCTAACACCTGCCGATAATTTCTCATCTGTTTAATATAGAAAAACTGTATAAATAACTCGATTATTATTCTAAAAATTCCATTAAATTAGTAACATTGTAAATATCGAAGCAATAGAAAGAAGGTATTGAAGAAGAAGGGACTAATTCATCATTTTACCACTTGACCTTTTCATTTGACCAGTAATTTTGCCTTTAGAATAATTTATTTAATATTATTATAATAAGATAAAAATAAAATAATTTATTTTATACATAAATCCATCGATCAAAGATGAAGAATGGAATTTTATTACGTATGATAAATCATCGTTGACAAAGATAGTCGGAAGCAAACTAATAGAAAAAAAGGGGGAGAGAGTTATCTACGAAACATGTGCGAGATATATCCAAGAGATGCATTGATTAATTTTAAGATATCAAAGGGAGGAAGAGGAAGAGGGGAAAAAATTAGTCGAAAGACGTCAAATGACGCAACAGTTTACGTAGGTTCGGGTAAACAACTAAGATATGATGTCACGGATTCCTTATTTAGAATTCTCGATCGATAGATTGAAGCGATTCTTCCTTCTATCTGTCGGATTTTGTTAGGAGATAAATGAAAAACGTTTCTTGACAAATAAATATTCGTTTGGGATTTACAAAAGAACTCGGGGAGAGGAGAAAAAAAAAAGGAAAAAAAATTCAAAAGAAGACAAAGTAGATAAGGGAAAGAATAGGAAAACATTCTTAAACATAAACCAAAATGACACTTTTCGAAAAATGTAAACAAGTAAACTTAAACAATGTTAAAAGATTCTGACACGAAATTTTTGCAAGATAAAAAATTACAAGAATATGTAAAATCATTCAAAAAATAAACTTAATTTAAACCTTTTTTTTCCTTTTTATACATTCGTTTACTTTTTTTTTGAGATATTTCGAAGACTTCTGCGTCTAACTTTAGTGTCGATTTCCCTGGTGGATCCGGGAGGAAGAGGTCAAAGGTTGACTTCCTTGTCCTTTTGACCGATACTCGAGGCTTGACATTCACGAAGGCCTTAAAAATTTGCTGAAAATGATTGCATTTCTTGTGTCCGTTTACTTTTATTATTTAGAAAATTTAATACAGTTTTTACGCTGTTTTTTTTTTTAAATATACTGAGGCCTCTTCCGATTTTCGAAAGGCCCCGCTTAGAATATTCTTAAAATATAAATTAATAAACAAATAATGAGTTGTTTTGTTTCTTAAAAGTACTATTTAAAATATTTATAAGGTCTCTGGCAACAACCAGGGAGCGTAACTAAGATGCCCGGGCCCCTTACATTTGTAAATAAATAAATCAAGTAAGTATTTATGTACATGTATAGTATACACGAAATTTAATACTCTTAAACACTAATAAACATTTAATTACGCGTTAATAAACTGTAAGTCCAACTCCCGTCGAGATACCACATATGACCCCTTGCTGTATTTTCTCACCCCTCGACCTATAACCACCAAAATTTCATAGTATCAATTCCCCTAATACATGAGCCTACCTGCAAAATTTCAGAAATCATCGACAAAAGACAAAGGAGTTATTAAGCTTTAAATTGGGTAAATAAAATCGTGCCCCCCACACAAACATTCAGAAAATCCTCCAACTTTTCTTGTATTCCTCGACGTTTCGACGTTCCACAAGTACAAAAATGTAAAAGTCTTGAGAGGTGGGCCATATTTTGAACCCAATTCGCAATTAAAATAAACGATTTAATCCCTTAATATGAGAAAAAAATGGAAATTTATTTTGGAGTTTTACACGTGAGAAGCTTAAATTTTATCGATAATCTTTGCGAACCCCGTGATTTATTTGCGTCAGAAGGAAGAGATTAATCACATTTAAACATTAATTAATCTTAGTTATTTAATAATAAAGAAAGTTTTAATCTCTTTAAAAAAAATAATAATAAGTCTCTTAAATTCGTCTCGGATAAAACTTTTTAACAAATTTAAATAAATGAATTTTTAATTTATAGAAGTGAAAGAATAGAGAGTATCCCATTAATCATTCTATGTTATGATAATAGTTACGTATGATAAGATAAGCTGTACAGTACAGTACATGGCGAGTTTATATTATTAAATTAAACTGTTTAAGCCGAGATAGATGACGGTACTGAAGATTTTAATGCCTATTCTATGTCTATGTAATTAACTTAAATTTATGAAATAATATTAACTGGGCAGGGATTGGAGAGGAGTATGAAATTAGGGGAGATGTTGTATAAGGCATTGGATAGACAGTAGTTAAAGTGAAATTCTTTCTACAAGAAACTGACCCCTATTTAGGTGTTACGAGCGTGAAGAGAACCCGAAAATCTCCACCTGGCCAACGCCCGAACCCACGACCAACTACAAACACACACTAAAGTTTTAATATATTATACAGTACCTATTTGTAGGTGTATCTCGTATCTATAGTATATTTATAGATACCGGGTATTTTAACATACGAGATATCTATTTATAGGAATGTTATAAGTATATTTATGTTTGCCTACGTTATAGGCAATTTAC